GGGCACTGTCCCGAATGTTCCCGAATGATACCGCACTTGTGTCCCTTTGAACTTCAGTCGTGTAATAAATCTCTTATTAACCAAGCTTGCTCGGGACCGTACTGGAAGAATATCGGCCCTCGCTCTTTTTTGTACGGACCTCGCTGCGCTCGGTCCGTACTGTCAACACCTCGGGCCGATATTCTCCCACTACCGCCCTCGCGCTTGGTTAATAAGATGTATATATCAGGCCAATATTTCGACTAGACAAAACTAGTCCTCCGACGAAAACTAAGTGAGAATGGAAAAGACGGTAACAGTTTAAAAATAATACAAAACTAAGAAAAAAAAATGATAGGTGGAGGAATATAATAAAAAAAAAAAAAAAAAAAAAAAAAAAAAAAAAAAAAACTAGTAATAATGAGGTATCATAAAAATACTCGTCATAAGATTAAATTTCAACGCCTCGGTTCCTTCCATAGGGTCTATCTCTGTCTGAATTAATGAGTTCTAATAGGATGAGTTCTATGTCTTTAATGGAATGATCTGGAAGGAAAAAGTGAGAAAAGTTGGAAAAGTTTATAATCAAACCGGCCCCGCTTTTACGAAGCCCCAAGGGAAATAGAAAAAAGTTCGAGGTAGCGGGCTATCGAAATAACACCGGAGAAGCGTAAAGGAAGGGTAAATCCTAGGGAAGTCGATTTTTGTTCCAAATAGCGGGATTTGGGACTTGAATTTAACCGAGTTCGACATAGCGGGGTTCGACTGTAATGACATGTTTAATGCTTTTGTTTTTTTTTTTTTCCAACCGATTTTTTTTTCTATCCGCATTTTTCCCATCCGCAATTTTTCATCTGCATTTTCCTATCGGCATCCGCCATCCGCATCTATCCGGTCCGCGCTTTGCAGAGTCCCCTAGCTAATCAGACACCGTTAACAACAAATGGAATCGGAATTTTTTTCTGATTGGAAGAAAACTGCATGCAAACAAAATAAAACAAGACTTAAATTGCTTTCTACTGTCTGGTTGATATCACATTTTATCTCTGAAAATACGAAAGTAAATTGTAAGTAAGGTAAAACTCAATGTTTCTTCTGACTGTAAACAAAGTACTTACTGCTTAGGGCTTTTTCGAAAGACACCACAGGTCTCCATTGCAGGCTGCGCCATAATCCGTAATATTTAATCATATATTGCAAAAAATCAAGAGAGTGATTCGTAGAATCAACGATGGCATTCGCGTTAACGCTTATTTTCCGCAGGCGTGAAATAGGTGGAACATTAATTTAGCGTACGATTTTAGGGATTCGATGAATGATTTCTTTCTCGCTAGTGAACCCGAGACCTCTAATTGAAGACTTTCGCACATTTCTCTCAGCTCAACTACTTTCAGTATGTTGAGTTTCTTCGCTTTTGAAAGTTCGCACAAGTTCCTATTTCAGACAACAATAGGATGCTGAGGCGCAGTCACTTGAAGGTTCACTGCTCTACGTAGATTCTCAAGCGCAATTTCATTTTCTAGCGCTTCTAAATCAGGATCCTCCTCCGTAAATTCCTGGAATCTAGAAACGGAATACGACGTTGAGAAAACTGTTCTCAAGCTGGATTTCAATTGAAAAATCCAATTCCGGATCGCATGGGTTTCTATGTCTCACGTCTTTTAGGAAATCCAGAGAGGGATTTGCAGAACTGCAGCTGTTCACGAAGGCTCTCTGTAGAAGTTTCTTTCTTTTTTTGACTTTTAATTTCGCTTCTCCCCTCTCCCCTCCCCGCTATTTTGTTTTCACGCCTGGCGCGCGGGATTTTTTGTGAACTGGTTTATCGCGTCGGGGACTTTGGGCTTGGCGTTGATATTGGAAAGAGGCTGGCGTGTACATTGTGCTCTTGTATCTTAGGGCCTGATTACATGGGCCGGGCTGGCCCTGTTAGCCGAGCTGATTTCTTTTGTTTTGGTGTTCGCCAAAGCGTGAAAACAAAAGAAATCAGCACGGCTAACCGGGCCAGCTCGGCTCATGTAATCAGGCCCTTAGTCTCTTTTACTTATTTTCAGTACGGAGTTTAGTTTGGATTGTTGTTGTCTAATTCCTCAGTTTAGAATTTCAAGTTTACGGAGTTTAATTCAACTACCTATTGTGAATTTCAATTACATTATTTCGACGGAGTTAGGATTCTCGTTTCTTTCTTTTACTTTTGGATTTTTTACATGGTGCCGAGACCCGAGAATTTGACTCACTTAAGAATTTACTCTCTCAAGAAATGCAACTGCTGACAGAAAAACTCATGCCCGCTAGACGGAAACTGCCTCCAACAATCTGTTATCTACAAAGCTACCGTCATACGTAAAGACAACAACTCGACGGATTCATACATCGGACTCACTGCAAAGGACTTCAAGACCCGCTACAACAGCCACACGTCATCGTTCCAACACACTAAGCACCGCAACTCTACCGAACTCAGTAAACACATCTGGACACTTAAGGACAACAACATCGGCTATTCCATCTGCTGGCGCATTCTATCTTCACATCTGCCCTTCAACAGCTCAAGCAAACGATGCAACCTATACACTCAACAAACGTAACGAACTCGTCTCTTCCTGCCGACAAAGAAACAAAGCCCTCCTACGCAACAGCTGACTTAACACTTTTCGCACCGAATCAATTATGTCATTAAAATCCCCTGGTGAGTGGGCAACAACGAAACAGGTCTGTAGGGATGAGATGTAGTTGATTTTTCTCTGCTCATCACATGTTAAATCTTATTAGATGTTTTGTTGTGTTGTATCGCTGAGTATTTTTATTCGTTGTTTCCATTTTGACTCGCCTTACGGGCTCATCAAAATTCAAACAACGAGTAAAAATTCTCAGCGATACTGCAAATACTATGTCTAATAAGAGATTTATTATCCGACACGCTAAATTGTTATTTCAGTGCGGGAGAATTTCGTGGATATTTCTGGAGTGCAAATATCGCGTGACATTTGTACTCATCTCGCGCGTTACTTGTACTCTACGAAGCACATTTGGATAATAAAAAGCATTACTCGATGAATTTGAACCTCCTCTGGCGAATCAACTGAAAACTTATCGGATTGTTCTTACGAAAAATTTAATGTCCTTGGAGCCCTGGACGACGAAATTCTGGCTTTAATGACAGAAGAGCATAGCGAAGATGAAATCCAGCAAACTGGGAACTTCAGGGAATCTATTTATCAAATGATAGTGGAAATTGACGAGACCATAAAACGCAGTTGAACTGGAAAGGGCCGCAAATACAGTGATGTCAATGCCTCTCTCTAATTCTAATTCGTTCACTGAAAGTCTGGGAATCGGAAAGTCAAAACTATCGAAGATTGATCTAAAGAAATTCTATGATGATCCCATTTCTTTCAATCCGTTCTAGGACTCGTTTGCAGTTGCTGTCGATGAGAACTCTGGTTTATCGGATTTTGACAAATTCAAAAGTACAGCCCATGTCAGAATGTCAACAAAATGTAAAAAGAAGGCTTGAAGGGAAGAAAATTTAAAGTTATGTCAAAAATTTCAAAATTAACACTACATGGCTTATACTCTTCATGAAATATAACAGTGACAGACACCATGGCTAAAGACCTTTTTAATTTCCTCAAAATAAGATAAAAAAAAAATTCATATTTCATGCTGCTGGGTAGTATTGTGTAGGTCAAACTTAGGTTTGTTCTTCTATTAACATGTGGCCATCCTTGTTCCTTCTCCGTTTTTTCAGTCCTTCCTCTTGGGGTTTGTCTCCTCTGAGAGAATACATTGATCATTTTAAGACTTCTGAATGTAATCTGTTTAACTAATAACCAAATGTAACTTTCTTTTTACTTGGTCATACCATAACATTCATACAACTGTGCATACCTTGTTGATCTGTTGTAGGAGGGGACCATGGTAATTCCAGCGGTGGTGAAAATATGCAACACACATCTCAAATACAGTGGCCTAATGTCTGCATAAGGATCACAGTTTGGCACAAGTTGCCGCAACCAGTGCCATGACTTTGTGATTCGCTCCCTATATTTGACCAGAAAAGTAGTATTCAAAGTACTGGGTCTGACTTCTCAAAAGTTGCAATTAATTATTGATAATAATTAAAAAGCTGTTATAAAAAAGGACAGGAGGACTGATCTTACAGTTGTTATTTTAGACCTTGGTTTCTTTCTTTTCATGTGTTATCATAACCATGTAAAGATGATGAAACTGAAGGTAAACCCCTACTTGAAGCTGGACTCTGCCGATCTTTAAGACTTGCTGCTCCAGCACCTGGTTTAAACAAGGAATTAGAGGGATTCTGTATTGCTTAAAACATCACATACATGTACACTGCAAAACTACAGGCAGGAGTAATCTGAAAAGTTCTTCTCAAGTATATGGCAGTATTATTAACACTGTGCAGTCAACATAATATTGCCAACTGAATGCAAACAAAACAGTCACAATGTATTAACCTGGTGCAATGTTTCATTTACAAGCTGCCCCAACTATCCTGTAAATCTTCAAGTACACTACATTATATCAACAAGCAGCCAACTCACTTTGATGTCTAACTAGCACCCTGACTCTTGGTTCACATTGAAGAAGTATCATTTAAAGGAGCTAAAAATCCAGAACCTCACAATTAATCTGTTAGTAAACAAAACATGTGCTAAACACATTTAGCAGACAGGTTTCTACAATTAATGAGCCCACTTACTCTGATCTTCAACTTGGTTATGAGCTGGGAAAACTATAATTTTGAGGAAACAAGTGATATGCAGTCAGAGGCTTACAAATGATGAATGTATTCACTCCTTCACCAACCTCTTCCATATAGAGCAATAATAAAATATACCTTTACTATCATGTTGTTACTTTATGATACGAAAGCTGTGTCAAATTTCCTTTTCCTTACAATGCTAGGCCTCTTTGATTTGGGAGTAACTGCAACAACATTTTGAAGAAATTTTTAGACAATGTCTACCTTGTAAATCTATAAAATTATTATCTAGCATTCATAAATGATATTTTGTTTTTACAAGGTGCACAAGTATTCACCAGACTGAAAAGGGCCATATATATATGCATGTTCAGTAATAAAAATTAATAGGAAATGAGCTAAGTTGAAGTCAACACTAAGTTACAAAAAAATTAAAGAAAATTCTCACAAGTGATTAGAAGACTTACTTGGGTGCCATTACAATTTTCTGAAAGGGGCTAAATTGTGTATGGCTCTGCCAACAACATTCTCATTAGGCACACAGCTTCACTGCTTGATGATACTCATTTAGTGTCCACCACAAAAAAGCTCTTGACCATGTCCAGGGAGAGACTGACAAAACCAGAACGAACATGTTTACAAAATGAGCCACCAGTCAGTAGAAAAGAAATTGTTAATTGTTGGTTTGATTTACATGCAGTTTAAATTCCATTGCTCAGTTATTGTACTGAGGTAATGGATCTAAACTGACAACACAATTGCCAATTAGACTACTGTCCAGGTTTTTTTCCTCTCTTTAAATTTGTCCTTTTTTGGGAAGGATATCTAGTTAAAGAGCAATTCAGGCAGATTACACCATCCAAAATTCCCTGTAACTCTGACTATATAAATTGACTATATAAATAAACACTCTCAAAAATAATGTAAGACATTGAAAAAAAAAAGCTAGCATGAATTCCCCAAATGCTTTGTAAGAGATACTGGCAAAGTGTTCTGGTTGTGTTATCAGGTGATTTACTGCACTTCCCAAATCACATTCCAGTGTCAAGCATTTGAACACAAGCTCATCAATGTTTAACTGCTCTTGCATCAAGTATCTTACAGAATCTAGGAGAAACTTCTAAATTTAGTTATAACACTTAACTGCAATGGACAACTTTTACCATAAGTCAATACTCAGAAAAATAACATACTACATTCTAGTGTAACAAAGAATTAAAAAAATAGGATCAAATTTATTTTTGAGAACAGTTCAATTGGTTCAATCTTTTAGTTGTCAATTAGGAAACTCATAGATGAGTTACCTTAAAAAAGCTATAATTTTAATTTGCATTGGTTTCTGCTACAGCATTAATTTGCATCTCCAGCTATATCAAAAGAAACATTAAAAAAGAGAGAAGCCTTTGAGCCGATTATTAGAAGGGGAAATTGAGTTATACATACATGTAAATGACTTTGTACAGTTGTTGTTTTAGGTAAGCAATACACCACATTTTCCCATCATTTACTACAGACTCCATTAACCCATGTAAGTTAAAGGAATTACTAGAGGGGAGGGAAAATCACTGACCTGATTTAATTTCTTCTTAAGTTTCAGTGACATAGCTCCATCATTACAGGTATATTAAACAATAGATTTTTAACCAATCTCTTTTTCTTGAGATTCCTTTATTTTTAATAATATTTAAATTTCTTAAGGGCCTCAGTTCTTAAAGCACTGGTCAATGAGGCTGGCTCTGACTCCATGAACTCATATAATTGTTTTCAGTCTGTCGTGATGATAATGATTAAGGGAAGGCTGGTTAGGCCAGTAACCATTGCGATATAAGTAACCAAGGAGAAAGGGACAGGTTTACCTGACAAGGGTCCAGAGGAAATAAACATAATGGGTGTGTGCTCATTACATGCCTTTGGTGATCTGTTGAAACAAAACAACTGGGTTCATCAAAGAAGCCATAGAGGCTATAACTGTCTGAGGGAGAGAGAATTAATGTTTATTTAGTTTTAGGAAATTAGCAACTTAAAGTAACACGAAATACATAGTGACAAATTTTGGAACATCAAGAGAGATGAAATACAACAATGTTCAGAAATATTTAGGGCTTTAAAGCCTTAAAAGGGAAGTGCAAATTAGCCTCTATGTAATCACTAATTAATGTCTACTATAGGAAATCTTTGAATTACCAATTCACACAGTTTCAAAAAAAAGGAGAAAAATCTCAGGACTTCAATAAATCCTAGGCTTAACAGCATTTTGAAATAATCATGTTCAGGTAATGATATTTTCAAGTACATGAGAGTAATTTGGTGTTAATCAAGCACAAATAAATTCCTCACAGAAAACAAAATTAATTTGCAAGAGAACAAAAAGCAAGTGTAATTTGTAGTCTTTGAAAACTTAACAAGTGCTTAATTTAATTAATGCTACAGTGCATGAGAAATCATGTTATTATACTTATCAGTAATTTACATAAAAAAAGCATCAAAGAGAGTCAAGACACATGACCATTTGTGATTTAACACTGTCTTGTGTTCCAGCTTTGCACTTGTTTATAATTCTACATTTGTGTTATATGAAAAATGCACTCAGTTGCAGCCAATTGGAGGCGCATAATTTTTTCATGTACATAAAAATGTGTTTAATTGTACTTAATTTGGCCACTCACGATAAAAGAGACAGACTTATTAAAAAGATGACAGTTACTTGATAGTCTTTATGAATTTGTTTTCTTCCCAGCTGATGCAATGCTTGATTCTTTGTTAAACCGTAAGGACTCCAGCTTTTTGTAGATGATTGTTGTTGAATCTGAACTCTTTGCTGAGGACAAATATATGCATGCTCCTTTCGACTTTCCTCTTTCTGCAATCAAAGTTAGCCATGGCAATGTGCCATAACCCCTATAAAATTCACCAAACCTGACTACATATTAAAAAGTAAATGACAAGGAAATGCTGTTTGTGTCCTAAAAAATCTCATTTTTTACTTTGAATATTCATATTAAACATGCAAATGATGTATTTCTGAAGTCAGTTTGTCTACTTCTATATTCGACCTCTCGAGAAAGGCTATCGNTTCTTACCCAAACTCTCGGATGTGTCTGCACCTTTGAGAGAACTTACCATCAGTCCAGCCAAGTTTACATGGGCCAGACAACATGATAAAGCTTTCACCACCATACAGCAGCTAGTCATCCAGCACCCAGTTCTGAAATTTTACAATGAAGAAGAAGAGGCAACTATTCAGACAGATGCCAGTGACAAAGGCTTAGGAGCAGTTCTCCTACAAAATGGACAGCCCGTAGCGTTTGCATCCAGAACTCTCTCTAAGACAGAGCAAAGATATGCCACCATCGAAAAAGAGTGCCTTGCAATTGTGTTTGGATGTGAGAGGTTCAATCAGTATCTGGCTCGCAGAGAGAAGATTTACATAGAAACGGATCATAAACCCCTTGAGTCCATCTTCAAGAAGTCTCTGCTCGCAGCACCGTGCCGTCTACAGAGAATGTTGTTACGACTACAGAAATACAATCTGGCAGTCAGCTACAAACCTGGGAGTCAGATGTTACTAGCAGATCACTTGTCAAGAGCAGCACAACATGAAAACACAGTGCCCGAAGATACCTTTCAAGTGTTTTCAGTGGATTTGGAGAAAAGTAACCCGATGCAAGCCTTGAAGATATCCCCTGAACGACTGGAACAGCTACAGCGCTGCACTGGACAGGATGAGTCTTTGCAAGTTCTAAAGACCACCATTCTCAGTGGCTGGCCAGCTCAGAAAGATCAAGCACCTGTTAACATCAGAGAATATTGGAACTATCGTGATGAGCTGTCAATACACAATGGAGTTCTCTTCAAGGGTTCAAGAGTAATAATTCCACGTGTCTTGCGGCCTGAAGTTATGTCCAAGATACATTCAAGTCACTTGGGCATAGAAGCCTGCCTTCGCAAAGCAAGAGACTCCGTGTTTTGGCCAAACATGACTGGAGATGTACGTGACCAAGTCTCACAGTGTTCCATCTGCAGTGAATGGCAATCCCAAAATCCAAAAGAACCAATGCAAAGTCATCAGATTCCGGACCGCCCTTGGAGTAGAGTTGCGGCGGATCAGTTCAAGCTTAATGGAAAAGATTACATAGTCCTCGTAGACTTCTATTCGGATTTTATCGAAGTGAAGATGTTGCAAGAGAACACATCAAGTGCTGTGGTTGAGTTTCTAAAAGAGCAGTTTAGCAGACATGGGATACCAGACACTTTGATCACTGACAACGGTTCCCAATTTACAAGTCAGGAATTCAGGCAGTTCCCACACAGTTGGGAAGTTGTCCATGTTTCCTCTTCGCCACACCATCACAAGTCGAATGGTAAGGTAGAAGCAGCCGTGAAAGTGACCAAGTCTTTACTAAAAAAAGCCCTTAAGGACCACAAAGACCCCTGGCTAGCACTGCTTGATCAAAGAAATACCCCTACAGAGTCAATAGGTTCAAGTCCAGTACAGAGACTTATGTCCCGACGCACAAGAACTCTACTTCCAACTGCCACTAACCTCCTGTACCCGAAAGTACCAGGAAATGTGGATCAACTACTCCGGCTAAAAAGACAGAGAGCCAAGTTCTATCATGATCGTTCCTCCCGTCCCTTACCCGAAATTGAAATAGGACAGGACGTCAGGGTGGCCCCTCTACAGAAGAACGACGTATGGAAGAGAGGTACCTGTGTTGAGAAACTCTCCGACAGGTCCTATGTAGTGAAGACGGAGGCTAACAACCACCTGGTCCGTCGAAACCGTGCTTTCCTAAAACCAGCTGAGAAACCAGCTGCGCCGACTCCCTCATCTAAGATAGTTGATCTCAGCACAAGTCAGCCTTCAAAGCACAGCTCACCGCCAGCGATGGTCCCTGGACCCAAGCCAATATCACCAGCAGTCAAGAGAACAAGGACCAGAATAATAAAACCTCCCGCTAGGCTAAGTGACTACTCAACTTAGGTCTTTGGATCTTAAAGTGCAACTTAGGCTTAGGACTGTACAGAGACATTAGTTTCAGTGAACCTTTTGAATTTTTTTTACTTCGTTTCCTCGTTGTGTCGGGTTAAGTTCGTTTTGCATTTCTATTATTTATTTTTTGAAATTTAGTTTGTGGCCATGTTCAGCTTTGTTTGACAAAGAAAGGGAGATGTTACGATGTTGTGTGACACGCCATGTGCTACTTGCCGTATTTGGGCATTACCTTATTTGGTGATT